TTACAACTTCTATTTCTCTCAATTTTTTTAATCGCATTTTACGGAAAACAGCAGCCATTACGTGCGTAAAATTGAAAATAATTTTCATTTGAAAAAAAAATTCTTTTGAATAATAATTTGCCAAACAATATTAATAAATTAAATCAACGAATTATAAGTAGTTTCATTTACAATTTTAAAATTACATATTATACTTTAAAATTCTAAAGTTTTTTTTTTCTTTTTTTAGAATTGCAAGTTATAGATTATGAATTTTTTCCTCCACAAAAGATAACTTGAAGATTTATTTCTGTAAGATTTATTTTATTATCTTGTATTAAACTCCCATTAATATTAATAGATTAGAAAAATGTCTAGATAAAAATTTGTTGTTCTTAATATCAATTAATGAACAATTATAAATTTAACTTTTAAATATTTTAATTCATCATTGTCACAGACAATGTCATGTCTTTAATTAAGCTTAAAATGAAGAACTTGTCACGAGCACGAGTAAATGAATTATAAAACACTGGAAAATAATAGCATATCGAAATTGGAAACTGACCCAAACCGCGGAACATCACATGCGGTTTTCACGACAAAACCAAAATTCTGCGTGGTGGCGCGCAAAACAGTTCCGGATGTCTGGTCAGAGAAAAGTACTAATTTATATGTAAATTCGTGGTAAAGTAAAAAACTGAGATGTAACGATGTTACGTTGTTCATTAAAAAATAGAATGGCCTGATTAAAAAAGAAAGGGTGAAATGTAGAAATTTAAACGTCAGTTTGCAAATTTGAAGCTAAAAGCTAATATTAATTAAAAATTTTATGACTCCTTCTTTCTTTTTTTTTTTTTTTTGTTGAATTTAAAAACTGTGCAAATATAAATTTAAAAAAAAGAAGAAGAAATAGATATGTTGTTCTTCAAAAAAAGAAAAATAGCGTATCAAAAAAATTTTATACAAGTTTAATAGTAAAATTCTATATATTTTCACTCTCCACTGTTACAAAATTATTATCAAATAAGACATAACATGGTATTAACATGTGTCTCATAATAAAACGATGTAACTTGTACAGAAAAAGGAGAATAAAAAATTGTCATAGAAAAACTGGATAGACGAGAAAATTATATAAATTACGTAGTAGAGTATATAAAATGTCAATAAAAATGAATCAATCTTAGGAAGATACATTATACAACCAACATGTTGGTACTTGAATCTTCTATATTAATTTATGTACGACGATTTATAAGTTGCTTTAAGATGATTTTGTACTTTCTTGCATCACTGAAAAAAAAAACCATATAAATTAAGAAGATATAAATCTTATCTTATATAAATTTTATCTTAAGACTTAAAAATAATTAGGTAATTATCTTATCAAGCTAATTTATTATTTTTTCTCCCACTTTTAATTTTCTTAAACAAATATTAATTATTATTACTGTAGTAAAAAAATTTTATTCAATCTTTTTTTCCGCTAAATCTGATTTTATCTCAAACCATTTTCCATTTCCTCCCCGAGCTGTTTACCATCATATCAATTTGCTACTTTACAAAACATAGGAATACGCCCCCTCAAGAAAAGCTTCTCGAATAAATTGCTGCCTCAAGCTTTGCTTTGTTATGGTACAAGCTGCTCAACCCTATTTCATCTTGTGCTTAAAACAAAAAGAAATTGGCCGCGACATTTCAGTAATCCCTATTTAAGATCAAAACCAACTCTTTTACAATAACATTCCCTACATTCCCTATATTAAAAACATACTGAATTCAAATAATAAAATCCCCATATTTCAAACTAATCTCAAAAATATTGATACAATTTTGTAAATCAATTCTCACTTAACTCCTAACCTCTTGATAAATGAAGAAAGACCATACATACATGATTATTAACATGATTAACAAATATAACAATTTCCTATATTTCAATACAATATAAATATAATAAATGCACAAAATTCCACAATTCCATAGTAAAAAAAAAAGTAACAAGACACTTAATACTCTGCCTTTCAGATCTTTTATCTTACCCAATGACATATACACACCATGAGGAATCATGTGCATGTTTCTACTCCATCGAAGAGACACTGGACAACGAACTCTTCTCGCTGACCGCGGAATCGTAACCTTCCAACGATTTCCGCGTGCAGAATTTATCGAACGGTTCGGAGGCGGGGGTCCTTTTCAGCCGATCCAAATTGCCACTGCGCCCTGTACCACCGCACGGGCATTTCCTTCTCCTTCTTCTTCGGCTACGAGACCGCCTCCGCCTCCTACGAGTTCGGCAGCCGCCTCGAGCCGCCCGCCTACGCCTCACGCGACTTCTAGGCTTGCATCTGCAGAATCTCCTCTTCCTCCCACGTCTGCGCCCTTTTTTCTTACCTTTGCACCCCATCTTCCGCTGCATCCTGCTTCTGTGGCAGGCGTCCAATAGATTCACCTCTTGCTCCGCGATCTCTTGACATTTTATAT